ATTGCTTGTGGACAAGCCTTTTATTCTTTGATATTATACCAAAACTTAACAAGTAGTACTTTCTTCAAGGTTGCATCTAATGTAGAAACCAAAACCATATCAAAGAACTTATTTTATTGTGCTACATTAAAATCCAGTGGCCTATTTTATACTCTACTTTGTCTATCCTACCCATGGATAATTTTGTTGCATCACGTGTTAGATATTTGGTTAACATGGACTGGCTGATTATGCAGCTTTTAAAAATGTTGATGATTTTATGATACACTATAAAAATAATCATTGGTTTTATAACTACAGATCTTATAAGAACAGTCTTTAAGTAATAGGAAGCTGTAAGTCTAAATGTTGTGGATGTTCGAAAATTATGCTGTTGATGATGTATACTGACACATTTTCCTTAAAGTATCAGACTTACTTCAATAATTTCCAATAAACTATCAAATACCCAAATCTGTATAACTTCAGTTATGTTAGTCTTTCAAATAAAAATGGTGTTTCATGAAAACATACACTGATTTTAGCTCACAGCTCAATCATACAAGTGTTTTTTCTCAAGACAGTATATTTTAGTATAGAGCAGATGTACTTCCTATTTAATTCTCATTTTGCCATAGGATATGAAAAAAAGTTATCATAGATCATAAAACAGTCATATCATTAAGAGTTAAGATTTAATAAAATTAATACTATTTTCTCTTTCATTGAGAATATTCTTTAGAGAAACGGCTTCCTTTCTGTTTTTAACCTTGAACGTGTAACTATAAAAAGATGTGATGGGTGTTTGTACCATTTGGTGCAATTACCTTGATTTGTCTAAGGCACTGGTAGTGATCCTTCATCATTTTTGTGCCATTGTTCCAAATGCAACCCAGGGAAAGGCAAATGATGCCTCAGTATTATTATGAAAAGTAACGTACCAGGCAATACTGTGACTTCATGGACCAGGTGATACTGTTTCTAGAACCTGCAGGGCCCAATGTATCACACTTGAAGTGCTACCTGGCACAGAGAATTCTAAACCCTTGCTGCAAATTAAAAGAATGTGGAGAATTTATTATTATTATACATTGTTTGGTGGCACTGGGGCTTAAACTTGCTTTGCGCTTGCTAGGCAGGCACTGTACCACCTGAGCCATGTCTCCAGCCCAATCAGTATTTTTAAAAAGCTTCCAAGGTGTTTTTACTATTATCACTTAAGTTGAGAAAAATTGATCTAATCTCTATGGTATTTGAACCTGTTTTCAGATCTCTGTCCCTTTCTTATTTTATCTTTCTAATTCTTTTAGATGAAACTAGCATGTTCAGGGTGGTGTGGCCATAGACTTATCTTTCTAGTTCTTTGATATGTAAAGAATCATTACCTATAACTCTTTTACCTCATTGAAAGCTTACATTTTTGTAAGAAATCTTTTCAGATTTTTTAATGAAGAAGGAAATAAAAGTAAAAGAAAAATAAACTGTTGGCTACCATATTAGTTGGGACTTTCAAAAATTGTATTTCATTGCTTTTTTATTGAAAGACAAATACCGGAATTAAAATATTATATCAGTTTTCTTTTTTTAAGGAAAACAATTAAGGGATTAGTCTAGAGTATGTATTGATTTAAGTCATTCTCTCTTATTGCAAGCAATGGATAAATTTTAACATGTTTTCTCAGATTATCACAATACTTTGCCTCAAAGCCATTTGGTTTATTCAGGATTTATTCTATTTTTTGTTTTAAAAATGATTATTGATTAGTTCAAAAACTTGTTTTGGGGAAATAATTTTTTTGTATTTGCTAACAAGCAAATGAAGAAAATCATATTACAATTTATTAAATTCCTTCTTCCTTTTTTTTGACAGTTACTGGAGCTTTAAATTCAGGGTCTCATGCTTGCTAAGCAGGCGCTGTACTACTTGAGCCACACTCCAGCCCTTAAATTCCTTCTCATACATACCACTTTGCCAAATTTTGAATTTTACTAAGTAGACTTCTCTGGCATCATGTGAACAAAGAGTTAAGCTTCTTGATCAAAATTATACAGTTGCTCTCTGTAAATGACATAATTTCCTAGTAAAAATTAGGCCATAAACTGAGGTTAACAGTATTATAAAAATAAAGTTTTCTGTTTATGACTACTTTTCCTATGAAAAACTTTAAATGTTTCTAAAGATAATTTATTTTCTTTTTATGCTAACCCTTCTGAGCAAACTCTTTTCTTCCCTTAATAAAAAGTCTAGGAGTCTCAGATGATTAATGACACTAAGACAATTGGGGTCAAAAATCCATACAACAAGCTTGTGGGCCATCATGCACCAGCTCTCTAGCTCAGTTGATAAAACTAGTCTCAGTGATAAAACTATTCAGAAGATAGCATTTGGGCACTTTTAATATGTGAAACTTAAGATAGAAATGCGGGGGGAGGGTATTTTTCCTCCCTTCATGTAGATTGTAGTTCTGAGCTGTTATCAAGTTGTCTGATATAAACCAAAGAGACTGCTGCTGACAGTATGAAAGAGAAGGAAAGAATTCCTCTAGGTCAAAAGAGGATAATGATTTTCTAAGAGTACATCAAGAGATTGATGACATGAAGAGGAATTTCAGGCAGGCAAAGGAAATGGCTGGAAATAAATATTTCAAGCTTTACTGGTCTTCCAGAGTTGTCTTTCAGATCTGCCACAGGGAACAACTTCATAGCCTTATTGACCATGAAGCAGTCAGAGTTTCTATTAAAATTTGCTAAATTAACTCTCTGGATGCTTTTAGACAAGTAGTAAAAGGTCAGGCTTGATGTTTAACTGACTTGATAATATCATAGGCTTTTCTTTTAGTATCATTGCTTCCATTTTTCTTCAATTATCATTATTATAAACATATTATTTAAATAATAAGTACATGGAATTTTTATGACCTGGGGAAGCAATATTAAACTAGCTCTGTCATGGTGCTCCTTTCTAAAACTACTTTATGTCCAAGTGCAGTATTAGTTTTTCTATTTTCCTACTGCACCATTGAGCTGAAACTTCTATGCAGTATAAATTTGAACAGACTATCCTTTATCTGTGACAGAGCCTACTGTCACAGTGGGACTATTTTTAGGGATACACATAATTTTCAAATTTTGTTATTTTTTTCTAATCCTTTCAGATGGTAACTAAGATACATTGACTTGTCAGATTATTTACTACTTTCTATTTCAATCATTTCTACTAATTTAAGTTTCCATACCCACTTTTTAGATGTTCAGTGTATTTGACTTCCTGTACACTACAAATTTCTTATTTGAAATATCCTGGCTTATTTCCATTTTAAAAAATCCTTTTTTCCCCCTCCCTCCCATTCTTTCTTTATCTTCATTCCTTCCTTCTGTTGAGACTCACAAAATAATAGCCTGAAGGATGATGCTTTAGCGTGCTGAATGCTTTGAACTAAAATAACCAAGGTCTTTCTGACCTTCCCTTTCCTCACTCTTGTTTTGTTCTAAAGTACAAGACATAGTTGTCTTTGAGTTCCCCTATCTACCTAAAGGCTGGATCCCCCATAAGATTAATTTGCAGGAAGAAAGGCTAAAGTTAACTCCACATTCAGAGCTCAGGTGAACTTTGTTGAAGGCTGGTGTCTATTCTTCAGGCCCATGCATCTTCCCCTAAAATTCATTTACTCTTTTTCTAAAACTGCCTACAGCCTCTACCTCCCTTTCCCTTAATAAGAATGTACTTTACTATTTGGTTGAAGTTTTTTGAGTTTTATGGTTTGTTTGACTTTTATGTGCTTGGTCATTAATAAATTTGTATGCATTTTCTCTTGTTAATCTGCCCATTGTCAGTTTGTGTCACAAAACCCAAATTATCAAACCTTAAGGGGTTCAAAAGTTCCTTCCATCCTAACCTTCCTTCCCTCCCTTCCTCTCTCCCTTTCTGCCTCCTTCCTTCCATCCCTTTCTTACTTATTTCTTCCCTTCCTCTCTTTTTCCCTACCTTCCTTTCTCCTTTTCTGTTCCTTTGCTTTTCTTCTTCATTTCAAAAATGATAGGGAAGATTCTAAGATTTCTAACAACTATTGAATAATGGTGTCCTATGCACGTTGCCAAACCCATATGTTTTTAATTTTTCACAATCATTCTCTGAGGTGGTAGTTATCATTTCTCCCATTTCGCAAATATTAAGCTTCAGGCTTAGAAAGAATGTGTGAATTGATAGAGCTAGTAAGCGGTAGAGTCATAGATGGAATCAAGTTACAGTGCATTTCCTATAGAGTGAGATTCTTAACTACTCTATAATTGGCTGTATATGATTCTATCTTTTACCATAGTCACAGAGTATCCTTTGAAAAACAAAGAGTAATTATCCTCAAGGATATTAATGTCAAAAGAATTAAAGTATAGTCTCAAATATAAGAAGCTTCCTTTAATAATACAAGGGAAGGTAGATATATCGAATGCCATTGTGAAATCATCTCAAGATGAAATTTTCCAGTTTTATGTCTGTCATATTAAACTGTTCTTCCTTTTGACCTTTAAATGTTTTCCCACTCACCACCCCTTTCAACATCATAGTATTTTCCTGACTTGCTTCCTACAAGAGTGTATATTCCCTTTCTTTTCTTGTAATATTATTGGCTTCTATGATATCTCAGTTTGTCTTTTCCAGAATCCTAATTCAGTTAGTCTGTTATCACACTGTTGTCACTCCTTTCTTTTGATCTCTCTAATTGTCCTCCTTTGGAGCTTTTTTCCCATCTGCTATGTTTTTCAGGAATTATAGATCAAACAGATTTTACAAGTTATTTTACATATGAAAACTTTGCTTGAGGAAATTATTTTTGGAACTACTGTAAAGCATAGTTTGTAAGAAGATGAAACTGAAAGTAAGAGGTCATTTGAAATATTTAGATCAGAGGTAATGAGATCTGCTTATAGAGAAAGTAGGCTAGAATGAAAGAAAGCATACAAATTTGGGTTAAGACCTGACTCAGTCCTTGCCAGCTCTGTGGCACTGGGAAAATCACTGAGGGTCTTTAAGCTTTACTGCTTTTATTTCTAAGATGAATGTTGTAATGTCTACCTGACTGGTTGTTTCAAGCATTAGAGGAAATTTAATCAATTGGCTTATAGGAAATATTCCAGAAGTTTAGTCATTACAATGTAGATGTGGGAAAATTGGGTTGAAAAGGGAGATACACAGAATGAAAGTGAGAAGAATGAAAGAACTATGTTAGGTTCATTTTGATAGATTGGAATAGCAAAAATATTCCTTGAATTATTTCTGTAATAATTTTCTAGATTTCCACATTGTCCCTACCCTGCCATAATGAATGAGATTTTTCTCCTCGCTTGAAAAACTTAACATATTTGAAAATGTATGTTTTTGACAATAGTAGCCTATTACTTGCTACTTACTGTGATGTTTGTGAGTTTCTATGTGTAGGAAGTTAGAGAAGAGGGAGAAGTAACTTGGTAGAAGATAAAAAAAAAGGCAGGGGAGGGCAGAAAGATGGGAAGAAGGATGGGAATGGAAGATGGTAGAGGGCAGGAATTGTACAGTTATTCTTTTTGCTTTAAAATAGCACAGAATTCCTGTTGATTATTGACTCTGTCTTACAATACTTGTATTTTGTCATAGTTTCTTTTCTAAAGCTGAATAACCAAGTGATAGATGTTTTTTAAGAGTTCACTCTCCAAGACCACATTCATTCTTATTATACTTGGCTTAATCCACAAATATTTATTTGCTCAGGTCCAAGCCTACAACTATTTACCCTCCCTTAAATTATTCTTGCCCAAAACAGAGATTTTGCTGATATAGTATAGATGAAGCTGTACATTGTAGGAATTACTGTACTTGTAGGTTTGCATATTTTCTTATCATTACCAATACTTCTAGCTTAGAATATGCTTGTCAAATATCTGTAATATATTCCATTACCAATATTTAGAAATATCACATAGATTAATACAAATTCTATACTTTACATTGTAAGATTTTGATACATGATGCCTTCTTTTTTCTATACAATGCGATTTTTCCTCTTTTTTTTGTCCTTCCCATAGACTTTGCAACCTGTGTTCTCCATATTCCCTTACTATCTTCTAATCAGCTGACATTAAATTATATCCAGTTTTCATTTAATACCATGCATCTTATTCATCTTTAAATTTATTTTTTCAGGGCCTTTAACATTTGTTTTGAAGAATTTGCACAATCTGATTTGACTTTATATTTCCTATCACAGTGCAATTGACCAATATAATAAACAGTTTAGTCTCTCCTATTTTCTTTATATTGTCTAAAATTTTCATTACTCTTAAATAAGCATCTGAATATAAATACATTTGCTTAAAAATTAGCTTTTTGGAGTTTTTCATTAAAATTATTTTCTTACATCTAAGTGATTTGGGGAAAACTGGAGTTAATTTTACTTAAAGTGAAGTTTATTTTTCCTTAAACAGTACAGTGAGCACAGAGATTTCCTGAATTCTCTTGTCATTTACATATTAAAATTTCAGTTTCATTTATCAAGTAGTATCTGAGGAAATATTCCTCACAAGCCTCAGATTTAATCCTTCAGTCTATTAACCAAAATAGAACATTAGCCTCTCCATGACACAGTATCTTTCTCTATGCCACCAATACCTTTTTAGTGAAATGACAGCTATTCCCTGAGTCTCTCCTGCACTGTTCTTATACATTTGTACCTTGTAGGGAAATCATATCATTCATATTTCATCATTATTGCAGTTCTAGTCATTTATAATTCTACAATCCCTTCCATTATGTATAATTATGTTTCAGAATTCTTCTTCCTAATTAATGTGGAAGCATTAGCTAGAAGGTAAGTCCTATAAAAAATCTGTTTTCTTCCTTGTCATCTGGACATAACCTTTACTATTATATTCTCCCGGACACTCTAAGTGATTATTACATGTGTTTCTGTCTGATTCTCTCAAGCTAATGATCTCAATCAAACCAGCTCAGATGAAAAGCATGCCATATCATTCTGAGATACTTATACAACATTCTGTTATCAGAAATTATTCATGTGTTTCTGAGTTTGAGATCATAAACCATACTAAACATAAAGCTTGATTTTATGTCACTGAACTAAACTATTATCAGAGTAAAAGAAACTTTGATAAACATTTATGATTGTTGACAATGGAGGAAGAAGAGTGGGGAGGTGGCAGCAGAAGACCTCTGAGAGACAAAATTATACAAAGCTACACTCACAAGAACTATCTGCAGAGATTTGGTGAAGTGTGAGTAAGAATATGCTTTTCGATTTATTTCTCCTTTACTCTCAAGCCACTACTTTGATTATTTGGATGGTGAGTTCCAAAAGATCTGGATTGGATTCAGAGATGTGTTAAATTTCATTAGGTATTTGCACTAATCTTTTTACTTTGTCTAAATACAGCCTTGCAGTGATTGTGAAAATTTTACAATGTAGGCTAATTCATTTTAATGAAAGAACTAGAACCCAATGTAAAGAATTCCTTAATATTACTTAATATGCTACCAGAAACACTGTGGGGATTCAGAGAAAGATGACAGTGTTATGAGCTAGAATTTTCCAAATAATCTTTGCACAATTGTTAGGATGTAAGTGAGACTTAAAAGAAGAATAAATTCTGGATTGATAAGGTATTTGCGTTAGGCAAGGGATATCATTGAAGCAAAGGCACAGAGATAGGGCTTTCACTGGCATATACAAAGAGGACTAGAAGGAAACCAACATGCTTTGATAGGAGCCAAAATTAAAGACAGTAAGACATCAGGTTGAAAAGTACATAATAAATGAATTAGGATCTTGAATGTGAAATGGGAGTATTGTGATGAAAGCCAATCACTTAAAGAACTAGATCTAACCCTATAGAAAGCTACTGTAGACTTTTTTTAAAATAGGGAAGATGTGTCTTATGAAGATTAGTCCATGAGGTGTATGCTGTATGGATTGACACAGGAGATCATTAAGAGCATTTGAAATGATTTAGTCACAAGGCAAGGATAAGACCATAGAGGAAACAATAATAGTAGTGAGGAAACACTACTAACTAAGGAGAAACAAATTGAAAAGCATATCCCCTTCTCTACCTACCTTCACTAATATTAGGTATTAACTTCCACATATAAACCAGCTACTTTAGAATTAAAAATAATGAGATATGAGACACACTGCAAAGGAAAAAATTAAATGCATTTAGGCCTGCATAGATATAGAAAGCTAAGATGTTTGAGAAGAGATGATTCTAAAGAAATAAATAATTCTTTAATATCTTATTTAACACATCTTTTTGTTTCATTTTCATTCTCATAATAAATTTTGAAGTAGGTTAAGTTGAAATGAAAAACATTATACTATATCCTCTTGGGGAGCTGAATAATGCTTAAAGATTCAGTAGTTTCAGGACATGGATCTTGTTTTTATTCTGTAACTCAATATCTACTTGTAAACCTTGATCAACGATACTGTTATTCATATCTTGCATAACACTTTATTTCACTCATATTAATGGCAAATTCCAATATGTTTTATGCAGTGGAACTCCAAAATGTCATCAGTGTTAGTTCATTAGGTCTATTAATTTTTTATTTCAACCAAACACAAAAACACCACTCTATTTTGCCCTTGATGGATTAATTTAGGACAAAGCCCAAGGTCAAGTAGATCCATTACTTTGGGCCTGAAAGTTTCCAACATTTACCAATAATGCCTTCAAATTATGAATCCATCAGTGGATTAATCCATTGATTAGATCAGAGCCCTCATGATCCATTCACTTCTTAATTATCAGATCTACCAGCTGGAGACTAAGACTTTAACATATAAACCTTTTAGGGGAGCACTTTGTATCTAAGCCATAACACTACTTCACTGAACAAGAGGGGTTAATAGTTTCCATCTGTCTTACTATTTCATGTCAATTTAAACATAACCAAGAAGCATAATTATCCCAAGATTCATTGCTACTATGTTGACCAATACTAATGAAGATATCACAGATAATGTTACAATTATCCACAAACCATGCGTGAATCCATACCTGCTTTAAAAACATCTGTCTCTTTCTACTTATTCTTCCAAGTGGAAAAATGGTGGTATATTTACAAAGTATACATTTAACTATTGAAAATATTACATTTAAACATATAATCTTAAAAATTATGGTTATCCCTCATTATCTTCAAACATTAGTAACTATAACATTTGGATGATAATAGTTTACACTTTTATAGAAATTATTATATAGCATTCTAAATATTCAAAATAAGTTAGCTCTTTTAATCCCCACAATAACCTTATAAAATACATATTTCATTACTATCATTTTCTACATGAGGTAACTGGAGCTCATAGAGGTCAATGGCTAGCCTATTCTAATTATACAATACTACTTTTGTCATCTTTTTTTATTCATTTATTCACATGTGCATACATTGTTTGGGTCATTTCTCCCCCCTCATCCCCTCTCCCAACCTCTCCCCCCTCCCTACTTTTGTCATCTTAATGGATTAAAAACATGACTTTTAAAATGCTTTTAATGTTAATTCATTTGTTCTTACAAATGAATTCTACAAGTATTTATTGAGCCTCAGCTGTTTGCTCTGATGAATGTTTAAGATGCTGGGAACAATAAGTCAGGCAGTAGAGAAAAAAAATCACAGTTAAACAAGGACTTGCAAGACAGTATAATAACTGAATGGTAGGATAATAATTGAGATATGGTTGAAGGCCTTGTAAGTCATTTAAAGGAAGGAAGATTTAACTCTATGGGCAATGAGATGCCATTGAAAAGGAAAATAACCTGATCCAATGTATATTTTAGTAAGATAAATGTGACTTCAATAAGGAAGAAAGGAAGACTAGGAAAAGCAGGAGAGTTTTGACAATCATCCAGATAAGAGGTGTGGTGGCTTCCATTAAACTGATGGTAGTGAAAATGAAGACAAGAGATGAGTTCAAGACAAGCAAAGGGGAACAACTTAGAATTTTCATATGTCCAGTTAAGAAGTGAGCATATTAAGGCCTGTAATATTAGGTAAGTGACAGTCATTTACTGAATTAGGGTTCACTTTAAAAGGATTGAACTGTAAGAATTTGGGTAGTTGAGATAATCCAATGCAAGGTATACTTTTGCTATGATTCTCAAAAAAGTAATTTAAAAGCTGAGAAACAAAGCATAAAAACATTTCCTAGGTTATTACGATTTTCTATTGAAACTATAGAAAATGTGTTCAGACATTAAACCCTTGCCCCTACTACCAGAATAGTAAAATTAAGAAGAAATTTTTAGGCTTACACAGTGTAGCCAGTGATATTAGCTAGTGCTTGCTCTACTCTCTCTAGTGGGAAAGCAGCAGACTGCAAGACACTGAACTGTATTTGCCTCTCTGTCCAACAGACTACATTCAGTGTTCACACACACACCCACATGCACACACACATACCAGAAAAGAAAAACCAGGAATTTTTAATTATTTTTTTTAAGTTAATATAAACTTGTAGAATTTCTTTTAAAAAAAGGAATCTGAACCCAGCTGGAACAATTCAAAGCAGCTCAGGCAGTGGCAGAACAGATTTAGTTTAGTTGATTTTCTGTGGTTCTTGGTTGTTCTCTAGTCTCACAGAGATGAAAATTACTCTTTTTTTTTTTTTTGAAGGGACTTAGAAGCTGCTGAAAGTTTGGTTCTCCCCACAAGGATTTGGGGAACTTTGCCTGTCCCAAGATCTGAGTGGCATATACTTCTGAAGAGACTTCACTTTTTAAATTTTTTTTGCAGGGATAAAAGCGAAGTTTATTGTTTTGCCTTTGTCAAGAAACAGAGCAATCTCAAATAAATAACCTAATGTTCCACCTCAAAAACCTAGAAAAACAATAATAAGTCCACTCAAAATTGCTAGGCAGAAAGAAGTTTAAAGATTAGGGCAGAAATTAATGAAGTGGAGACTAAAATAATGGAGGACTCTATGAAACAAAAAATCGTTCTTTGAAAGGATCAATAAGATTTACAAACCTTTAGCCAAAATAACCAAAAGAAGGAGGTAGAAGAACCTCATTAATAAAATTAGATATTGAAAAGGTGATAAAGTACAAATACCAATGAAATCCAGGAGATTATTAGAGAATACTTTTAAAATAATTTTTTATTTTTTTTATTGTTGTGCTTGGTGTGGTACATTGTAGCATTTACAAAGATTCTTACAATGTATCAAATATAACATATTTGAATTCCACCCTTCCACTTCTCTCCCCCATCCCTCCTCTAGTGATTCCTGGAACAGTTTCAACAGGTGTCATTTTTTAATTTACGTACATGTGTATATATTGTTTGCACCATGTTCATTCTCCTACCCCTTTCCCTGCCACCCCCCCTCCACTGGTGCCAACCACCCCCCCTCACAACCTGTTCAGCCCTCCTGTTTTCCAATTTTATAGATGAAAAAACATAAACATGACATTTTACTAGTTTGAGATAAAGATTCCCATGCATATGTGTATTACAGCTCCAGTTGATTCACCTCTTCTACTCTTCTTCACTACTCCCTAGTCTGCTTCCCATGGTGGCCCCAACTAGTTTAAAGTTTCTATATTCATTCATGAACTGTGAGCACATCCACCTCATTCCAGATTTTGGTTTTCTTCCCTTGTCCTATCCCTCTTTTGCACAGCCTCCCCCCGTGTAATCCGTGTCACAAAATATTGCTGCATTTGTTTTAGGTCTATAATCCACATATGAGGGAGAACATGTGGCTTTTGGTCTTCTGAGACTGACTAACTTCACTTAAGATGATGTTCTCCAATTTCATCCATTTACCTGCAAATGACAGAATTTCATTCTTCTTTGTGGCTGAGTAAAATTCCATTGTATATAAATACCACAGTTTCTTAATCCATTCAACAATAGTGGGACATCTTGGCTGTTTCTATAGCTTAGCTATTATGAACAGTGCTGCAATAAACATGGGTGTGCAGGTGCATTTGTAGTAACCTGAGTCATATTCCTTCAGGTATATCTCTAGGAGTGATATTGCTGGATCATAAGGCAGATCTATTTTTAGTTTTTTAAGAGGCCTCCAAATTGTTTTCCATAGTGGTTGTACTAGCTTACGTTCCTACCTTTGAGTGTGTTTGAGGGTTCCTTTATCCCCACATCCGAGCCAACACTTATTATTGGTGGTGTTCTTGATGATAGCTATTCTAACAGGAGTGAGATGGAATCTTAGTGTGGTTTGATTTGCATTTCCTTTATAGCCAAGGAAGGTGAGCATATTTTCATGGTGTTTTAGGCATTTGGATTTCTTTCTTTGGGAAAGTTCTGTTCAGTTCACTTGCCTATTTCTTTATTGAGTCATTGATTTAGGAGGGGTTTAGTTTTTTGAGCTCCCTATATATTCTGGTTATCAGTCCCTTGTCTGATGTATAGCTAGCAAAGATTTTATCCCATTCTGTGGGTGGCCTCTTCAATTTAGATACCATTTCTTTTGTTGTGCAGAAGCTATTTAATTTCATGTAGCCCCTTTTGTCTATCCTTTCTCTTAGTTGCTGGGCCACTTGAGTTCTACTGAGGAACTCCTTGTCTATGCCTATTGCTTCCAGTGTATTCCCTGCTTTTTCTTCTACTAGCTTCAAGGTTTCAGGTATCATATTAAGGTCCTTAATCCACTTTGAGTTGATACTTGTACAGGATGACAAATATGGATCTAGTTTCAGTTTTGTGTATACAGATATACAGCTTTCCCAGCAGCATTTTTGAAGAGGTGGCTATCTTTTCTTCATTGTATGTTTAGTTGGGTATAGCTGGATAGATTCATATCCAGGTCCTCTATTCTGTTTCACTGGTCTTCATACCTGTTTTTGTGCCAGTACCATTCTGTTTTTATTGCTATGGCGCAATAGTATGGTTTAAAGTCAGGTATTGTGATACCTCCAGCATTGTTGTTTTTGCTCAGTATCGCTTTGGCTATTTGCAGTCTTTTGTGTTTCCAAATGAATGTTAGGGTTGATTTTTCAATCTTTGTGATGAGTGTCATTGGGATTTTGATGGGAATTGTGTTGAACATGTAAGTTGGTTTTAGGAGCATAGCCATCTTTACTATGTTGATTCTGTCAATCTATGAGCACTGGTGATCTTTCCATCTTCTGTAATCTTCTTTGATTTCTTTCTTCAATGGTTTGGAGTTTTCCTTGTAAAGGTCATTTACATCCTTTCTTAAGGTTATTCCTAGATATTTGATTTTTTTTTTTGAGGCTACTGTAAATGGAATTGTTTTCTTATATTCTTTCTCAATCTGTTCATTGTATAGAAAGCCTACTGATTTTTGCAAGTTGATTTTGTATCTTGCTATTTTGCTGAAGCTATTTATGATGTCTAGGAGCTTTGGGGTGGAGTTTTTTGGGTCTTTTAGGTATAAGCTCATTTCTTCTGCTAATAGGGATAGTTTGATTTCTTCTTTACCTATTTGTATAACTTTTATTTCTTCTTCCTGCCTTATTGCTCTGGCTAGGAATTCCAAGACTATGTTAAACAGGAGTGGAGAGAGTAGGCACCATTGTCTAATTCCTGACTTTAGAGGAAATGTTTTCAGTTTTTCCCCATTAAGTATGATGTTGGCTATAAGTTTGTCATATGTAGTGCCTTCATTATGTTGAGGTACATTCCTTTTATTCCTAGTTTCATCAGAGTTTTTCATCATGAAATGGTTTTGTATTTTATTGAAGGCTTTTTCTGCATCTATTGAGATTATAAGGTGGTTTTTGTCTTTGTTTCTATTAATACACTGTATTATATTTAATGATTTGTGTATGTTGAACTATCCCTGCATCCCTTGGAAGAAGCCATCTTGGTCATGGTGGATGATCTTTCTGATATGTTGTTAGATTAATTTTGCCATTATTTTATTGAAGATTTTTGCATTGGCCTATAGTTCTATTTTTTTGATGTGTCCTTGTCCAGTTTTGGGATGAGTGTAATACTGGCTTCATAGAATGATTTATGCAGCATTCCATCCCTTTCTATTTTGTGGAAAAGCTGAAGAAGTGTTGGTATTAGTTCTTCTTTAAAGGTCTGGTGGAATTCAGTGGAGAGGTCCTGGACTTTTATTTTTTGGAAGAATATTTATTGTTGCTTCAATTTCATTGCATATTATAGATCTGTTTAGGTAATTAATATCCTCTTGGTTCAGTTTTGGATTGTTGTATGTGTCTAGAAATTTGTCCATTTATTCTAGATTTTAAAATTTATTTGAATATAAGTTCTCAAAGTAGTCCCTGATAATTTCCTAGATTTCCTTGGTGTTTGTTGTTATCTCCCCTTTTTCATTTCTAATTTTATTAATTTTTGTCTTTTCCCTCCTCATTTTAGTCAGATTTGCTAAGGGTTTGTCAACCTTGCTTATTTTTTCAAAGAAACAGCTTTTTGTTCTGTTGATTCTTTGTATAGTTTTTTTGGTTTCTATTTCATCCAGTATTTTTATTATTTCTCTGCTTCTACTTGTTTGGGTTTAGCTTTTTCTTGTTTCTCTAGGTGTTTGAGATGTAGCATTTGGTTGTTTACTTGAGATCTTTCTGTGGTTTTAATATATGGACTCATGGCTATAGAATTCCCTCTTAGGGATGTCTTTGTTATATCTCATAGGTTTTGATATGTTGTATGTTCATTTTCATTAAATTCCAGAAACTTTTTTATTGCTTCCCTTATTTCTTCTATGACCCATTGATCATTGAGCAATGTGTTGTTCTGCCTCCAATTGTTTGAGTATTTTCTGCTGCTGCTTTTGTTGTTGAGTTCTAGTTTTTTTGCATTGTGATCAGATAGTATGCATTGGGTTATTTCAGTTTTCTTATATTTGTTTAGACTTGCTTTGTGCCCTAAGATATAATCTATTTTTTGAGAATGTTCCAAATGTTCCAAGAATGTATCTTGTGCTCTTGCAAGATGGTATACTCAGTAAACATATGTCAGTTCAATTAGATCTATGGTGTCATTTAGTTCTAGGATTTCTTTGTTGTTGTTTTTGTCTGGATAACCTATGTATTGGTGATATAGGGGTATTAAAGTCTTCCACTACCACTACCACTGTGTGTTGCTGTCTATATGTTGTTTTAAGTCCTTTAGTGTATGAGTAATGGAATTGGGTGCACTGACATTGGGTAAATATAAATTGATATTTTAAATTTCTTCTTGATTTTTTCTCCTTTTATTAGTATGAAGTGACCTTCTTTATCTCTTTTGAGTAATTTAAGTTTGAAGTCCATTTTATCTGATATAACTATTGCTACCCCTGCCTATTTTGGGGGCACCATTAGCTAGGTAAATCATTTTCCAGCCTTTCACCCTAGGCCAGTGTTTGTTTCTGTCAATAAGGTAAGTCTCTGGTAAACAACATATTGTCAGTTCTTCCTTTTTTTTGAAACTATGGCCTTTTATTTTTACATAGATTGTTCAAAGGGAGTCAGTAGATTTTGTTTAATGTTTTAAAAAAATAGGATAGTGAGGCACCCTCAAAACAAAAATTTTGGACTTAAGAGTCACAGGAATCTGGTTGAAGGAAGAATCTGTATTCTTATAGAAGAGAAACTGGATTTCTCTAGAAAGTTACTAAGGAATATTTGTATGTGTGTTGAGGGGTGAGCTATTTCCAGGCTCAGAGTGATTCACAGTGCTAGATATAGGGTGATGGGACAGTGATCACTGCCAAGGGCCTTGGAACGGATCTTGCTATCACACAATGCAAGTAAAAGGGAATGAGACAACAAAAAGTAATCAAGATGCTAGCCAATGTTTTTGGAGTAGGCATTCATCATGTAAGTCCAAAAGGTATAATCACAGGCAGTGTTGGGGTAAAAGTGCCAGAAGCTGTTGGCAAATGGCACAGCCTGCAGCAATTCCCCAAAACCTTTTTAGAGGTATGTGGTGATTCCTGCCATTTAGTTGTTTTGTTGTTTAAGGATTTGCATATGTGCAGCCAATTCAGTGCTACTCTCTGAGTGCTTGTCTGTTCTTCTCATGAGGTTTAATACTTCCTGTCCTGTAGTGGTTATGTTTGTTTTCATCATCTGTGTGTAGGATTCCTTTCGGAATCTTTTGTAGTGGTGGCTTGGTGGTCATATAATGTTTTAGTTTCTGTTTATCATGGAAGACTTTTAATCCTCCATCATTTTGAATGATAATTTTGCTGGGTAGCATATTCTAGAGCTGAAATTGTTTTCTTTCAGTGCTTGAAATACCTTACTCCATGTGCTTCTTGCTTTTAAGGTTTCTGTTGAGAAATCTGATGTTATTTTGATGGGTTTACCTTTATATATTATTTTTTCTGTCTCTCTTACAGCCTTCAATATTCTTTCTCTGTTCTCTGTGCTAGCTGTTTTAACAATAATATGCTGCAGAGAAGTTCTATTTTGGTTAAGCATATTTTGTGTCCTGGAGACTTCCTGTACCTGAGATTTGGGGAAATTTCTGCTATTATTTGTTGATTTTTTTTTTTTTTTTTTGTGGTACTGGGGTTTGAACTTAGGGCTTCATGCTTGTTCAGCAGGCGCTGTACCACTTGAGCCACTCCACCAGCTCCCCTTGTTGAATATATTGCATATGCCTTTGGCTTTAACCTCTTCTTCTTTTTCAATGCCCATGATTTGCAGATTTTGTCTTTCCACAGAGTCACTGAGTTCTTGCATAATCCTTTCACAGCTTATGAGTCTTCTGTCTAAGAGTTGTTCTGTTTTATCTATAATATCTATTTTGTCTTCAAGTCCTGAAATTCTGTCTTCTACTTGTTCTAGTCTGCTGGAGTGGCTTTCCCCTGTATTTTCTATTTGGTTCTTTTTTTCTGAGGTTTTCCATATCTTTGCTAAATTTCACTTTCATATCTTGTGTTGTTTTCCTTATTTCATATATCTGGGTTTTTTTTTTATAGTCTCCTTTGTTTCATTTTAGAGTTTGTCAAAGTCCTCTCTGAGTTCATTTAGTTGTTTCTGTGAATTCTCAAGTATTTTATTTGTGGTGCCTTGATATGTCCTCAGTGTATTTTGTACTTTCTAGTTAGCCATGTCTTATAGCTTCTCCATGATTTTCTCAGTGATCTCATCCATAATTTCTAATTTGAGAGATTTTTTGTGGACATCACTGAGCTCATTGGTGATATTTATCATTGTTCCACTGGGGTCAGGAACTGGATATTCATTTTCTTCATTTGCCACTGAATCCTCTATGGAATTGTTGGTCTTTGAGGGGATAGGATTTCCTGACCTACTTCTTCTCTCCATGCTTGTATGATGTGCTGATCCCCTATGTTGTTAAGTGGCTAATTGGGAATTTTAATCACTTGTTGTCTCCCTCTTAACTCAATTACTGTGTTATGACTGGCTTAGTCATTAGCTAGGTCAATGTGCTACTTCTGTTCCCTGACTAGGCAATATAAACTAGTAATAACAAATTCACTGATTCATTGTTGGACAAGTTATTAACAAAATATGTAGTGAGACCCTTGTGATATTATTTATAAGCCGTGGTGATTGGGGGGATAGTGGTTGTTTGGATAGAGATGAATACTTAGGTATTGAAAGAGCTGGCACTGGGCATAAAGGGGGGATGGGGGAGGGAGGGGTGTAAGCATGGGTGTTCCAGGGTACTAAGTCCCTAGTGTGTATTGAGGTGCAGTTCAGTCATTGTGAAAGAGGATGCTATTGTCAGGATTGCCAAGGGATAGGAAGGATGGGGTAATGTGTAAAGTTGATATAATACACAAATCAGTGGGTGGTGTATTTTGAGGAGGTCAGGGTAGTGGTGGGAGAAGGAGGAGGAGAGGAAGGTGACGAAGGGAAAAGGAAGGGGAAGAAGATGGAAAGAAATGAGAAGGAAAAAATTGGGGTAGAGAAAGAGAAGTGGGGCAATAGAAGTGTGAGTGTGTTAGTATTAGGACAGAATGGAGAAGGGAGTTTGGTAATAGTAAAATGGAAGAAAAAAAATGAAGAAAATAAAAGTTAAAATTGAAACTTATAAAAATACAAAAAAAAGTAAGGTAAAATAAAAATAAAAAAGATATATATCAAGCCTGTGAGTTATTATTAAGCTTTTCTCTTAGTGAGTCTGTCATTTTCAGCTTGTTCCCAGTTTCTCCAAGGCAGTGCAGTGCCTGGCTTTCCCCACAGGGGCTGCTGAGTTGCTCCACCCCTGTATGGGCTATTTCAGCTCTGTATTCTGCCCCTCCCCGCAGGCAAAGGGGAAATATTCCCTCTGTGTATTTGGCCACCAATTTTATACAGAGGTGGAGCAATCAGCTCCCCAGCTGTGCTAGAATACGTGGGTCTCTCCCAAACAACATGTTGCACTAACCTGGTGCGTTGGCAGATTCACTTGGTTGAAAATAGATCAGCTACAGGGCAGCACAGGTAGTGGGCAGACAGAGGTTTTGTGTCTGCTTGTGTTTGGCAGGTCCCAGTCTTCCCAGATGATTGCACAGCTCTCTTTCTGTGCTTCTCTGTGTTGTGTTATTGTTGATGAGGTTGCAGACATACTAAGGTGAGAGAGATTTGTGCAGGTGGGCAGCTGTCAAAGGTTCTGTGTCTGCATGTATTATGGTAGGTCCAGATACTCCCAGATGTTTGCAGGTCTTTGTCATTCTCTCCATTGGGTTTTAGCTTTACTGATCCTGGTGGGAGGGAATTAAGAGAGAAAGAAAAGGAAAAAAAAAGTGATAGATCAGCTGTTTCCAGCCAGAGAACAGAGAGGTGGGCCAGCAGCAGCTGCCTGACCCTGCACTGGGCTGTTATGCACTTTACAAAGTTACCAATAGCCTGTCTCCAGTACTGCCAAGGGCACTGCTCAGCTGAGCCAAGTCAGAGATCACCATTGAGAACCACCTCACCAAAACCTCCCCAGACTCCTGATCACAAAGTCATAAGCAAAACAAAATAAAAAGCCTCTAAGTTTAGGTATCATTTTTGTATAGCAATATTAACTAGAAAAGTGACCCCCAAATTCATTTAGATGAATCTTAGGTAGTTGAGAAGGCTAACATACAATTTTCAAACAATCAATGTTTCACTCCTTAGTTTATCATTCATTAACCTATCGGCTATTCAAATCATCATTTTAATGACTTGTCTCTTTCTTTTTTAATTTTATTATTCATATGTGCATACAAGGTTTGGGTCATTTCTCCCCCCTGCCCACACCCCCTCCCTTACCACCCACTCCACCCACTCCCTCTCCCCCCCACCCCCTCAATACCCAGCAGAAACTATTTTGCCCTTATTTCTAATTTTGTTGTAGAGAGAGTATAAGCAATAATAGGAAGGAACAAGGGTTTTTGCTGGTTGAGATAAGGATAGCTATACAGGGATTGACTCACATTGATTTCCTGTGCTGTGTGTTACCTTCTAGGTTAATTCTTTTTGATCTAACCTTTTCTCTAGTTCCTGGTCCCTTTTCCTATTGGCCTCAGTTGCTTTAAGGTATCTGCTTTAGTTTCTCTGCGTTAAGGGCAACAAATGCTAGCTAATTTTTTAGGTGTCTTACCTATCCTCACCCCTCCCTTGTGTGCTCTCGCTTTTATCATGTGCTCAAAGTCCAATCCCCTTGTTGTGTTTGCCCTTGATCTAATGTCCACATATGAGGGAGAACATACGATTTTTGGTCTTTTGGGCCAGGCTAACCTCACTCAGAATGATGTTCTCCAATTCCATCCATTTACCAGCGAATGATAACATTTCGTTCTTCTTCATGGCTGCATAAAATTCCATTGTGTATAGATACCACATTTTCTTAATCCATTCATGTGTGGGGCATCTTGGCTGTTTCCATAACTTGGCTATTGTGAATAGTGCCGCAATAAACATGGGTGTGCAGGTGCCTCTGGAGTAACCTGTGTCACAGTCTTTTGGGTATATCCCCAAGAGTGGTATTGCTGGATCAAATGGTAGATCATGTCTAGCTTTTTAAGTAGCCTCCAAATTTTTTTCCAGAGTGGTTGTACTAGTTACATTCCCACCAACAGTGTAAGAGGGTTCCTTTTTCCCCACATCCTCGCCAACACCTGTTGTTGGTGGTGTTGCTATGATGGCTATTCTAACAGGGGTGAGGTGGAATCTTAGTGTGGTTTTAATTTGCATTTCCTTTATTGCTAGAGATGGTGAGCATTTTTTCATGTGTTTTTGGCCATTTGAATTTCTTCTTTTGAGAAAGTTCTGTTTAGTTCACTTGCCCATTTCTTTATTGGTTCATTAGTTTTGGGAGAATTTAGTTTTTTAAGTTCCCTATATATTCTGGTTATCAGTCCTTTGTCTGATGTATAGTGGCAAATATTTTCTCCCACTCTGTGGGTGTTCTCTTCAGTTTAGAGACCATTTCTTTTGATGAACAGAAGCTTTTTAGTTTTATGAGGTCCCATTTATCTATGCTATCTCTTAGTTGCTGTGCTGCTGGGGTTTCTTGAGAAAGTTCTTACCTATACCTACTAACTCCAGAGTATTTCCTACTCTTTCCTGTATCAACTTTAGAGTTTGGGTCTGATATTAAGATCCTTGATCCATTTTGAGTTAATCTTGGTATAGGGTGATATACATGGATCTAGTTTCAGTTTTTTGCAGACTGCTAACCAGTTTTCCCAGCAGTTTTTGTTGAAGAGGCTGCTATTTCTCCATCGTATATTTTTAGCTCCTTTGTCAAAGACAAGTTGGTTATAGTTGTGTGGCTTCATATCTGGTCCTCTATTCTGTTCCACTGGTCTTCATGTCTGTTTTTGTGCCAGTACCATGCTGTTTTTATTTATTGCTTTGTAATATAGTTTGAAGTCAGGTATTGTGATACCTCCTGCATTGTTCTTTTGACTGAGTATTGCCTTGGCTATTCGTGGCCTCTTGTGTTTCCATATAAATTTAAGTAGATTTTTCAATCTCTTTAATGAATGTCATTGGAATTTTGATGGGAATTGCATTAAACATGTAGATTACTTTTGGGAGTATACATTTTTACTATGTTGATTCTACCAATCCATGAGCATGGGAGATCTCTCCACTTTCTATAGTCTTCCTCAATCTCTTTCTTCAGAAGTGTATAGTTTTCCTTGTAGAGGTCTTTCACATCTTTTGTTAGGTTTACATCTAGGTATTTGATTTTTTTTGAGACTATTGTAAATGGAATTGTTTTCATACATTCTTTTTCAGTTTGCTCATTGTTAGTGTATAGAAATGCTAATGATTTTTCTATGTTGATTTTATATCCTGCTACCTTGCTATAGCTATTGATGATGGCTAGAAGCTTCTGAGTAGAGTTTTTTGGGTCTTTAAGGTATAGGATCATGTTGTCTGCAAATAGGGATATTTTGACAGTTTCTTTACCTATTTGTATTCCTTTTATTCCTTCTTCTTGCCTAATTGCACTGGCTAGGAATTCCAGTACTATGTTGAATAGGAGTGGGGATAGTGGGCATCCTTGTCTGGTTCCTGCTTTTAGAGGGAATAGTTTCAGTTTTTCTCCATTAAGTATAATGCTGGCTGTAGGTCTGCCATAGATAGCTTTTATAATGTTGAGGTACTTTCCTTCTATTCCTAGTTTTCTTAGAGCTTTTATCATGAAATGGTGTTGGATCTTATCAAAAGCTTTTTCTGCATCTATTGAGATGATCAAGTGGTTTTTGTCTTTGCTTCTGTTAATGTGGTTTATTACATTTATTGATTTTAATGCCTTGTCTCTTTTTTTATTAAATGGAAATATTTATTTCTTAAAATTATTATACAGTTCAATAAGAGTACAAGCAAAATATCCTTTCCAAAGGGAACATGTGTAAAGCATTATCATAGATTATTATTCTAGATCTAAGTAGAAATTATAATGTTAATATCTTATAATAGAAATGCTGCCTTTTTTCACAAATTAAGTTTTCAAAGAAATAGATATTTTCTTATTTGTCCTAATAATATTTATTACTAGATTGAGGGAGTAGGTGGAAAGTATACAAATTATAGTCAAAATGCATAAAAGCATGTGCCTATTTAAAGTTTCATTTTCTTTTCCATTCTTGTTGTAATATTTCTCAACATGATGTATTGTGGGTTTTAGGGGTGATTTGTATTCATCATAAGAATTTGCCTCAATATTATTAGAGCACATTGTGGGATGCTTAGGACTGTGTGAAAGTCATTTATCATTCAGAATTTATGATAAAACCACTGTTAGGCAACTTCTAGACACTCTGTCATATTTACACTTCTGGAAAGCAACATAGTGAAAGAACATTTAGGAAGTGACCTTGATGCTTTCATATTGTACTATTGTAGTAAATATCATTATTGCCAGAACTTTTTAACATCAATCCTATCGAGACTCAACTGCTAAGTTTTCTTAAAGGCTATATTTCTGCATTTTATTTCTGACTGCTTTCTTCAGATTATGAATGAGCTGTTTCTAGCAAGTGTGGTCCTTGATGTGGCATTGAGTGTACTTTTAAATCATTGACATTTACTAAGGTCTTTTAAGAGATGACGGTTACATTCTTTAAACTGTATTTCTGGGAAATATATGCATATTTAGTTTGATTTCTCTTTCTTTGCAAGAAGCAGACTTGGAATGTCTCTTGAATAAATCTGAATGGTCTGAAAGGAAAGCTGTGCTTCTCTGACTACAGAGTTGTTTACCATTTTCTAGAACCACAGATTACATAGTTCCAAGAGCAGATGCCCTGGATTCTCATGGTCCCAGCAATGCCACCTATCTTACATTCAAGTTGCTTGTGAACAGCACAGTGAAACTAGTGTCTATGCTGTCTTTTTTTTTTTAAAGCAATAAAGAAAAAACAAAATCAGCATTGTCTAGCAATTTTAAGAAAATGCCAGCCCTCATTTTTGAAGAGTAGAAATTATTCAAATGTTATGCTTTTCTAGCATCAAAATCGATTCTTCAGTACAGAATACTTAGATATAAAACTTGCTTATAAAACAAATCTTCCATGCTTCTAGTGCAGAAAAGACAAAATCACACATTTAAGTCCCCCAAAAGTTGGATGATACTCTCTTTTAAAGGCTCATTTCTCCTTCTTCTCTTCTGCCCACTCCACCTACACCGTCCAGTGTAACCAGTCCTTCACTGTCAAACATGTCCTTAGATTTTACTCAAACTATTCCCACTGTTGGGCATACCCTTCCCTGACATTCCAACGGTTGAAGCCTTACCCTTTCTCCAATACCCCCATCAAATTCAAATTCTAATTTCTAATTCTTCCCCTCCAAAATTATTTCTCAAATACACCTTCCTGAGGGTTTGTTTATATTTCTATTAATGGCCATTGTTCTCTTTATAGCACTCATTATACATTGTTTTAAATTAAGCATGTTGCATGTCACGAATTTTGAAGAGTCTGAGATTTAATGAAGGATTACACATTTGCTTATCAGATTCATGAATGTTAGCAGATGACATAAAACTCCTGGGTCAGAGACAAAGTACTTAATAACACAAAGATAATCACTAGCAAGAATATCAGCATTTGAACCAGTTCCCTTAATTCCACTTCCCATAGGGTAACACAAAATACCAAATGGTGTCTGCCTAAGCAGTGGGCTACATCTTTAAGAGGAACTTTCAGCTCAGGGAACCCAAATTCTTTATACTGAATAGCAAGCATGCTTGAATTTTGAACCTTTTCTGTTGCTATA